TATAAGATTATTAGAGATTATATATAAGATTGTTGGAGATTTAATATACGATTGTTAGACTTAGCATATATAAATGATTATTACAATTTTAATATGAGATTAGTAGCCATTTAATATAAAATTATAAGAGATTTAATATAAGATTAGCAGAGTTTCAATATTACGGTTAGCAAATACATCATATATACCTAACAAATACTTTTTGTATGCACAGATGGCTGATCGCGATGAGGAACATATACTATACGATACAATCGCAGAGGGAAGCAGCCAGTACTGGAATGAAGAAGAGGGGAACGAGGATCCAAACCAGTACTTGAACGAGGAGGGGAACGTGGAGAGGGATGCGGAGGGGAATGATGCGGAGGAGGCTAGTGGAAGTCAGCCCTCTGCTGGACAGAAGAGGGCACGCGAACAACGAGGTGCCGCGAAGAAGATAGAGGGTCGGCACATCATAACTGAGGTGGACGAAGACGGCCGACCTAGTGCACCGGCAGAAGCAGCCAAGAATTTTGTACGCCACAGCGGTTGGGTTGTGAGGGACAATGTGCCTGTCAGCACGGTGTACTGGCGCAGAACAAGGGCACGCGGGGATGATGACAGCTTTGTCCCGGACTCAGAGAAAGAGATGTTGTGGACCACAATGCTCGAGACGTTCACGCTACCCGCGGGTACGGATAACTTAGTGAAACAGTGGACTCTGAAGAAAATGGCGGAACAGTTCCAGAGCTTCAAGGGAGATCTCTACAAGAAATACATCCTGAAGGGACTAACACCGAACTTCGACGTATTCCCAAAGCTAAGGGATCATTGGGACGAGTTCATTGCTTACAAGACAGGGCAACAAGGGCAAGCGATGATGGCCAGAAACAAAGAAAATGCCGCCAAGAAGAAGTACCATCACCACTTGGGGTCAGGCGGATATAGCGTCGCGAAGCCGAAGTGGAAGGAGATGGAGGCTAGCTTGCTTGAGAGGGGTATCGAACCGGCCACCGCTAATTGGCCGGATCGATCGAAGTTCTGATACTATGCCCACGGTGGAACGCTTAACCCAGTTGATGGCTCCCTTGTCTTCAGCGATCAGATACGCGAGGCTGCCAGTCGCGACTAACGGACGCAGTGGTAGCCTCTTCTCAGGGCACATTCCGACCTGACAGAGAGAAGGATGAGCTGTCACTCGCCCTACAGACTCCCGAGCATCCAGGACGAACACGAGGGAAAGGCGTGATTCCCTGGAAGATTGGATTTAAGGAGGACATCCACACGTACAGGAGTCGGATGAGGAGCAAGAGAGATACCGAGGCGAAGATTGCAGATCTTGAGTACAGGGTATCGAGCTACGAGCTCAGCATGCAAGAGGAGGTGGCAAGGAAGGTGGATGAACGTATGGCCGTACATCGGTCCCAGGATCCCCAGCCGTACATTCATCCTGCAATGGTCAGCCCATTAGGCAATCGTAGCAGCTGCGCCTCAACGGGGCAGGTCGGATCACAGAGCATGGACACCATGCAAACCCAGGACGAAACCTCCTGCCCCGTTGATGAGATCACGCAGCGGATACCATGTGAGCTGCATATTCCCTTCAAGAACTTATCAATCAAGGTATGCTCGTAGTTTGATGATTTTTGACTTGTACATTCCGCAAGTTGCTGCTTAGGTTGATTACTAATAGATAGCCTCTCATCACGTGAAGGTGGCGTCGGAAATGGCCGTCCCAACGGACCCTTCCGGGACTTACCACTGCAGGCCGATTCCAGCAGGATACTCGAGGGTCGAAGTTGAGCTGGTGGAAGCCTTGTACGAGGACCTCGAGTTGGACTACCCAGGAGGGGACGATGAGACGCATCTACGAGACACAAGCCACGCCATCATACTATGGCGCAAGCGGTACATCATCCTTCCTGGGCGACAAGCGGCATTTCGTGCACCATCTCCTCCGGCTCCGCCATCTCCTCCTGCACCATCTCCTCCGCCACCTCCTGCTGCACCATCTCCTTCGGCTCCTCCGCCACCTCCTGCTGCACCATCTCCTCCGTCTCCTCCGCCTCCTCCGGCTCCACCGTGTCCGTCTGCACCTCCCAAGACAAGGTCTCGCCAAGCTCCACCGCCTGCCCGCACAAGGGCAAGGAAGAAGGCGAAAGTTGACACCACCAAAAACAAGGAGCCACCATACGATTGCAGTCAAGAGGAGCTTGATGCTTATGTGGCAGGAGAGGTGAAGAGGCAACTCAAGCCTCGGAGTCCTGAAAAGAAGATACCTATTGACCCGAGCGTGAAGAAATTCTTCAAGGGAATGTCCAAAACAAACAAGGAGGCGTTACAGATATCGGACTATGACCGAACACTTCAGAGAGCCTATCACAAGAAGTCCAAACCAGTTCCTCAGCTTGGAGAACAACCAAACAAAGAGGTCGAGCCGTTGGTGACCGGCGAAGATTTTGGCATAACGGATTTCATTGCAGACACCGGTCTATCTGTGGATCAGTTGGTTGGAGCCGCACTAATCCCGAAGGCGGAAGTGGCATACAAGTTTGAACTCGGTAAACCGCTTGTCAAACCTGAACAGCTGGAGTCCCAACCGACACAGATGTACAAATTCCACGAACGGTACATGGAAATGAGCGCCAACGGTAGAGAGATGTTCGGGGCGAGGATCAGAAACCCTGACTTCTTGCAAGGAGACGATGTTCTCTGGATCCATTTCAAGGATCTCTTCGATCTGTACCAGTTGGATGCCCTCGACGTCTCTCTCCTGAGCGCATGGATTTTGTGAGTATCTTTGAGTTCGATTTGTTTCGTTCAATAATTAGCTCCTGGCATATATGTAAGCAATAATACTTTCCTTTCATCGTTGCAGAATGGAGATTCAAAGGGCCCGACGGCGGAGGGTCTACAATACTGGGTTCATCGACCCTCAGAAAATCAACTCCGAAATGATCAACAAGTATGAGAAAGACACAGAGGACAATCTCGTCCATCTCCTAACGCAGCAGCATTTCTAGACGTACATACTACTGCCGTACAACACAGAGTGAGTTTTTATTGTCATTCGAACAAATTTCATTCCCATACATATAGCATGTACATTTTCGATCATATATATCTCATCTCACGCATATTCCAGATTCCACTAGGTCATGTTATTCTTCGACTTGGATGCATGCAGAGTCACTGTGTACGACTCAATGAATAAAGAGGAGAAGATTTTTGACAAGGTCTTCAAACTGATAGACAGGTAATATAATGCCATCTATTCGAAAGTCGCGGGGAATCTATTGCTATTATGTTGATCTCAGGTAATAATTAATTAATCATTGCTTGCAACTACATATGTAGGGCTTGGGATCGGTTCCGTCAATTGGTCCGCGGGACTTGGAAAGAAAAACTTGGACGGAGGTTTCATTTTCCAGTGAGTACATGCATGATCCAAAATTATATTGAATTGAATCTCTAATTACAGTTAATATAAAGAGTATATTAAATCTCTCTTTGTTTCTCGTGTAGTGTGGAAAGCAGGAACAGGGAACTAACTTATGCGGCTACTACGTATGCGAGTATGCCCACTGCCTATCAAACCAAATATGCACAACACGAGAGCTTGATGTACGTATACATAAACCATTCAAAAGTTCATTGCGTATCGATTTGTTAAGTTGTTTATTAATTTCATATATTGATACATCATTATTTTTGGAATGATAGCGTATTCACATGAGGGATAATCTCCCACACAAGGATTTTATCACGGCTGTTCAAGAACAACTGATGGGATTCATCAACGAAGAAGTCCTTAATCCCGACGGTGAATTCTACTACGACGGATCAACAATTCATAACGTCGGTCCTTCCTCTTCTGACATAACGCCGGCGTCGAAGTCGAAGTCGTAGCTATAGCTACCGAGCAAATGAATTGTACTATATATGCATGTATATATATATTTATATATGTACACATTTGCTTTTGTGTTAATATATATTTTGGTAACATATATATATATATATAGCACATAAAATGTTAAGTAGCTTTAATTAAACATATGTGTGTGTATATAATATATGATTTATACATACACACACACATATATATATATATATATATATATATATGTATATATATATATATATATATATATATATATATATATATATGACTATATATGTATTGTAACATATGTATGTGTATATATATATATATATATATATATAATCAACCATGCAGCAAACAGGGCCATGCAAAAAAAAAAAAGGTCAGCTCGATCTTTAGTCCCGGTTATTTCACCCGGGACTAAAGATAGTTATCTTTAGTCCCGGATTCGTAGTCCCGATTGGACAACCGGGACTAAAGGGGGGTTACCAACCGGGACTACAAACGGTTTCTCCACCAGTGTAACTTAATTTGATCGTGTCTACTTTACATATGGTTACCTCGACCATGGCTCCCTCACACACTTTTCGGGAGAAAATTGTGATTTTGCTATCGCAAAAGAATGGTTTCGCTGGAATACTATCCCTTCAAAGTGATTCATTAAAATGCTATCCTAAACTAGGGGTGTTCACTGAAATGCTATTTTGGATCTTTTTGATTATTACTAATGTTTTTACTCTCTTTTATTTTTTCTCCGGACCAAAATGCCCTCGTCTCTATGTCCTCCTTTCGCCCAGGATAATGGCAGGTTAACATTGCTCTAGCAAAATATATTGCTATATATTTGTGAAACCTATGCACGCCTCATGCTCCGCTGCGTGATATGTATATACTAATTGATCACTAACACTAATACAAAAGCTCCCGTGCACTGGTTTGAAAGTCAAACAACACCTCTCTGGTTTTGACACATGCTTTGCTAGAGCAATATATTTTGCTTTCACATTTGTACAATAAAAATGGTGTGTAGTCCAGTTCAGTCACAAGCGCGCATACACATCAAGATATAATGGAGAAGCTAGCTTAACCCATAAAATTTGGGCATGAAAAAATTGTAAAAACAAAATAGAACAAATTTGGACAGCATGTAGACATAATATTGAATAGCATGTGGTTCACAAAATACCTCACATAACAATGGTTCACAACATAACAGTGGTCACAACATAACAGTGGTTCACATGCACCATGGTTCACATGCACCATGGTTCACAAAAGACCTCAAATAACAGTGCCTCACATGCACCAACAACAAAGGTGGTTCACATACACTAACATGGTTCACATACACCACCATGGTTCACAAAATACCTCTTATAACAGTGCCTCACATGCATAGCACACAATCAAGTAGGCTTCATTTTCTTGGGTGTGAGCTTCTTTGTACATGTCCTCTTTGAGCTTGATTCAGCAATATTCAACCTCCTTTTACATGTCACTTGTGAAGCAAGTGCCGGTTGTGTGCTTGTCCCTCCTTGTTCCATTAACATTGCAAGCCGGCTACAAGGAAATTGTTGTTGTTAAGCAAAAATACATCTAGGTTAATGTAATTGTAGTTGGTTGTACTAACCGTCTTGTCACAACTGTTGGGCTTTCTTGAATAATGGTTTGTACAGTAGGCCTAGTTGGGGTATGTGGTATAGGAGCAGGAGCAACATGAGCAGCAGGAGCATCAGGAGCATCAGGAGCAGGGGCATAAACCACATCAGGAGCATTAGGAGCAGGAGCCGGCCCATACCTCATTGTGTTCCATCTTGCCTTTCGTTTCCTACAAGGTGAGATAAATATATTTTAATTTTACAAGGAAAAACAAATGTAGTACAATAGAAAAAAAATAATGACATTTAGACTTACGGCTTCTTCTTTGTACCATTGAGCTTGCACTTGTAGCTAGTTTGTCCATGACCCAACTCACCGCATTTTTTACACCTCTTTTTCCTCTAATCGTTGCCTTCTCTTTGGCAGTCTTTAGGCTTGCTACCACCACCTTCCAAGCAACCCTTGATCCTTAGTTTCCTGTACCTTCCTAGGTTCCTTTTTGCAAGGGGTGCACCAAGAACAAAAGGTAAATCCACCTTAGGCCATTGTGATTTGTCAGGGAGTGGCTCAATAATTGAGTTGTATGCATTCCAGAATAGGGCCACAGAGTAGTAGGGATTAATGTAGTTCTCCAACTTTACATCCCTAATTTGCTAGGAGGCAATCACTGCCAAGGCATGTTGGCAAGGCTTGCTAGTGTGTTGCCACTCCTGACATGTACAAGACTGCTCATGTGTCCTCACAACATGCCTAGCATGGCTGCTACTATTGTCCCAAACCTCAGCAGTGGTTATGTCAGCATGCACAACTGACAAGTGGCCTAACCCTCGAGTCCTAGCTCTCAACTGGTGCAAAATGGCAGGTAGAATTGTACCTGTGAATTTATTTCCAATCCTTCTCCTCCTATTCCACAGGGTCATTATCATCTCCCTACATGTGTCAGCAAGCTCACAAATAGGTAAGGCCTTTATATCTCTGATCCAATTGTTAAAGCACTCTGCAAGATTGTTAGTGACATAATCACATTTAATTTCAGCATTGAAGCCACTCCTGTACCATATCAATTTATGGTAAGTGTCAAGCCAGAGAGCCACATCGGTGCATGCTTTCTTAATTGTATCCATACACTCCTCGTGCACTTGTGCCCTATATGATCTAGCTACAGGATACATCTCTTGGAAGACAGATCCACCATATTTCTTGATTAGATTTTGCGTAAGGTGGTTAAAACATTCTCTATGTCCAGCCCAAGGGAAAACTCGGTGCACTGCAATCTCTAATCCTTTGCATGCATCAGTACAAATTGCAAGAGGAGATACTTTTCCTATGGCCTTGAGCAATTGAATCATAAACCAGGTCCAATTATCAGTAGTCTCAGCATCAAAGAAACCAAAAGCAATGGGGTACATCCAGTTGTTTCCATCTATAGCTATGGCAGATGCTAAATGTCCTTTCCACAAACCATTTAGGGCAGTTGAGTCTACACTAAGGTATGGCCTACATCCAGTTAGAAATCCAGTAATCCATGGACTAAGTGCACAAAAGAATCTGTTAAAATAAACCTTCCCATCAACCTCAATAGTGTCAATCTCAATAACACTACCAGGGGACCTCTCCATGACTGCAGCCCTCCACCTATACAACATATGGAAATTTTCTTCCCAACTACCTTGCAATTGGATCATAGCCAAACTCCTACCCTTAGCCACAGTATCATAATTGATTTTGCATTTCTGATCCTCTTGCAACCTTTTTTGCAGTTCTTTAGGGCCCATACCTGAGTCTGTCCTAAGGATATGGATGGCCTTGGAAGCAACCCAGGCGCTGGTTGGTGTGGTAGTCTTTCTTCTACCGCTAGATGTACACGTGTGATAATTAGTAAACTTTGTCACCTGCAAATTAAAACAAATAAAACATGGCATTAGAGCAAAATAAAGAAAATAACATAGAAGTGAAAATGTCAATGACATTAGGAAAAAAAGTACCATTACGGTTCGCTCGTCAGCCTGTCTACGCCCATTCACATGCCAAGGGCAATCACTTGCCCCTTTGCATGCTCCTACATATTTTTTACGATCTGTCGCCTTTACCCAAAGTTCAAACTCCTCATTGATAGCAAACTGTCTAACCGCCAATCTAAAGACCTTCATGTTGGGATACACAGTTCCTTTGACCAAGGATGGCTTATTCGCGTCATTCACCATCATCCTTTCTCCCGCAACCTCGTCCTCGACCGGAGGCTCAACCTCAACCTCATTTTCATCGTGATTCCGATTTTCAGCACCATTGCCATTGTTACCATTACCCTGTTCAGTTGTAGCCGCCGCTTGAGCATTCTCGGCGGCTTCATCCTCAGCCCTCAAACCCAAAAGCACATACAACTCGTCATCATCCACGATGTTTACCCTTCCTTCCTCATCTAACGATTCGATAATCTGTAGGTTTTCCCAATCAACAATAGGTGGTGGATGTGGTTCTGGCTGTGGCTGTTCTCCTTGAGTAGGAGGAGAACTACCACCACTATCAGGTTCATCAGCAGGTGATTGTACAACTACTAATTGACTCCCAGGCTCCTCCTCGAGCCTAGAGAAAAAGATGCAAATAATTGCAAACAATAGTCAGATCTATCTAACCCCTTACTTCCAGCAAATCAATCGTGTAATCATGTCACTGAAAAAAAAATAGAGAAGTGCATACCTCCCAACAATCTGTAGCCAGGTGGAGTCATCCATGGAGTCAAACCCTAACCACACATTGAGGGAGGGGAGGAGGGAGTGGAGGGCGGGAAGAGCTGACCGAGGGGCAGCGGCTGATGGGGGTGGCAGCGGATGGAGGTAGCGGTGGATGGGGGCGGCGGTGGCGGCGGATGGGGGTGGTGGTGGATGGGGGCGGCGGCAGATGGGGGTGGCGGTGGATGGAGGCCGTGGTGGATGGGGGCGGCGGCGGATGGGGGTCGCGGTGGCGGCGGCGGATGGGGGTGGCGGTGGCAGCGGAGGCGGATGGGGGCGGTGGCGCTGACTGGGGGAGGACGAGGTAGGGGAGTGGCAGGGGCGGGGGCCGGCGCCGGCGCCGAAGACGAAGCCGATGCGGAGGCGCGCTGCTGTCGCCTCTGCCGATGCCGCTCCCAGCTTCTCCCTCAGTCAACACCGACGCTGGATGGCTGGAGAGATCGATTCGATCTGGTGATAAGGACACAAGGGTATTTTGGTCAGAACAAAACTTAAAATAGAGTAAAATCATTTCTAGAAACCAAAAAGATCAAAAATAGCATTTCAGTGAACACCCCTTAGTTTAGGATAGCATTTTAATGAATCACTTTGAAGGGATAGTATTCCAGCGAAACCATTCTTTTGCGATAGCAAAATCACAATTTTCTCACTTTTCGGCAGGGCCGTCTCCAGAAATTGGGGGCCCCGGAACGAAATATAATTTGAGATTCTAAATTTACTTTTGATTCAGTCGATTATTTAAATTAGTAAATTATATTCATGGTAATTTGATTTAAAAGAATAGTACTGAAACATTCAATTCAATTGATCACGCATGGATACATGCATGCAATTCAACAATTAAGTATCAACAATTCAGCATTTGACTTAATTACCAGTTGTCTAGTCTACTCTAATATGGTATAGACTAGGTAGTTGGCTAGCAGCTTTGGGCATCGTCACTGTTGATCAAGGATTCAGAAGCTGGTTTCGCATGCACGCACATGAACACATATTGTTGATTATGGCTGACTGGTTGTGCTGGTGCAGCTGGTCTCTCTGATTTGGGGGACCCCAAATTTTTGTGGGGCCCTGCGCTGACGGCTCAGTTCACACGCCCTCGTCGACGGGCCTGCTTTTCGGTTCAGAAACCTTGAAAATGACAGAAAAGCTAACTATGATTTGTGTTAAGCACTCTCGTTGGTTTTTTCTTCAGTCTAAGCATTCATACTTAAACTGCGAGGAGATGTTCAAGTATATATATGATTGTAAGAGATATATTAGGATATGATTGATTTGTCTTTCTTATTTCTAATCATTTCTTATGTCTACCCATATATATTCTAAATATATATACTTGTCCTCTGAGACTAAGTACAACACGTCAATAGTATCTTTCTGATGTACTATTCAACATAACCTGGAATTAATTAATTTAAGCTACTAACATGTCTCCATTCATCCCCAAATTCACAGCAATTTAATTTTCTTCAAAATTCACATCTAGGAACCCTAGCCCTACACCAGATCCAATGCTCCGAGCAACCCTACGTCGGATCCATCACATCCACCAATGTCACCCATCCTCTTTGCCACAGTTGCCGCCCCTTCCATCCCCTTCATTACCTCCACCAGATCCGGAAACTCCACCACTGTCCCTCCTATCTACTTTGCCGCCGCCACTACAGTCGCGTTGTCTGCTAGAGAGGGAGAAGACGAGGAGAGAGGTGGGAGAGGGAGGGTAGGGAGGAGAGAGATAGTGCATGGAGAGCAAGAAAAACCGATGGGCAAAGGGAGATCGTGGAGAGTCACAGGGAGCAAAACTTAATAGCGAGCCTGTGTTGACGGTTGTTAAGTACTATCTCTGTTTTAAAATATAAGAACCTACGACCGAATAGCACATTTCCTAGTACTACAAATCTGGACAAACTATCTGTCCGGTTCTAGGTTCTTATATTTTGGGGCGGAGGGAGTACCAATTTTGTCCATTAACTATATTAGAAAAAGTTCCGTCCGGTTCTAGGTTCTTATATGACGGGGACGTCAGATCCTTTGAGGGGGGTGTCTGTGACATCATAGTGCAATTAGGATGTGGCCTATGTTTTTTTTTTATTTAAATGATGTGACATGTGTTGTTCATAAGCATTGTGTGCACTCGAGTAGTACCATCTTTGCTAGTTAAGCAAGAGTGTATAGCCAACTTGTAAGGCATTGCCCCTCCAACCATATTATTTTTAGGTTGACTATTTTACGTGAAGCGAGAATGGAAGCATAAGTGAGGTGATATTTATAACTGAGCGTGCTAGTTGGATGGAGGCTGGCCTGCCTTGTTCCGAAGGATTGGCTGTTACAAATTGTAAACTAAAATTACTTGCATCATGTTATCTTAAATTTATGAGAAAAAAATGTCGCAACAATGGAGCTGGTTCATATGAAACTATCATTTTTATACTACATGTTTTCATTTTTTAAAAAAAATATTTAGCATACTAATTTAAACTTTTAAGAAATATTTTTTCTTGTATACTAAAGATGTCTGTATAGATTTTAGGATATATTAATTTATGAAATTTTATATTAAAAATATGATAATATAGCTTCTTTATCTAATTAAAGACATACTCATGTACTTCTACTTGCTTCTACTACCTCCATCCATAAATTGAAGGATTCAACTATTATCCTAAAATATAAGGGATTTTTAATACTACTCGTTCCATCCAGCCATTCTTAATTTAATTTCTATCCAACATTATTCTAACCATCTTCTAACTCTCTACATACCCCTTATTTAATGATGGGTATCTTAGTTTTTTTTTCATTTCTCCTTAATTCCTATAAAATTTTAGGATCCATTATAGGACGGAGATATATAGTAATAAAAAAGTGCTTCATTCATAGACTGATTTATTTGTACCTTTGTAGATTATTTACCTTTACATATTTGTATAGGTAAATAGACCTCGTATATAAGTTGAGAAATATAATTAAGTAGGTATAAAGTCATTAGATGTCTAATGGTATGAAGTAATTGGTCCACCAATTTTATTAGAAAATTAAGGTGGATATTTTTTTGGGGTAATTTTTAGGATCTTCTTTTATTTGGTGGTTAACTTAATTGTTGTAAGAAAAACAAAGAGCCAAGAGCCAGTGGGTTCGTCTTGTCCGTGAGGAGGGAACTGGATACATGTGTTGTACATATGATCAATAGGTGGTTTTTTTTTAATATATAGATCTACAGTTTAAAATAAGGTCCATTGGTTTGGGTATGATGACTTCAGCTCAATATAATGCATACTCCTACCATAGTTACTACAATGTAGCCAGTTGAGATCCATGCTTGGCACCCTTCAGGGTATGAGTAAGAAAAAATGGAGGTGATGAAAATAGTTTTTTTTTTGTCTTGACTTGATTTATTGTATAGACAATACATAATTTGTTTATGGTGTTAATCGATACTACTAAATTTTAGTGGTACTTCTGGTGGTACATATATAATTTTCTCTTTTAAAAATTAGCAGGGTTGATCATTGGACTCTACTTCGAAAAATCTAATAGCTTCAGTGGTGAGGACCACGTAAAAAATATTTGCTCAAACTGTGACCCTTTGCTAACATACAAGTTGATATAGGTTTTTATTTTTTTTCTTGTATTATACATCTAATTTCCCTATGCATGTTCGTGGGGATTAATATTTGATGAAATTTGTTAAAACTCTTTGTGCTAATTGTTAACACTATTTGGATGGGGACGCCATAACAAAGAGATATAATATAGTTACATGTATGTTTTTTTTTCTAGCGAATAGTAGTCTCTCGTATGGACACTTTTTTTTTCTTCTCGGACAAATATTAGTCTATCATAGGAATAGGGTGTTCATAATGTGCGTCTGCATGCATGCATTTATATGAGCTCATGTGATTACCTTTTAAATTGTTAGTAAAAAAGTACTTTTAAAGTTTTGATGGGAAGAGGGTGGAGCAACGGGTGGCATAAGACGACGCCGTGGCATGGCTTCTTTTACCTCCTCGCAAGGAGTGGTCACTGCATATATGCTCAATTTAGAAAAAACCTTAGAGCTGGAAAGAAAGAGAAAACTACCATATGGGTCAAATCATATACACACTCTTCTTATTTTTCTTTTTATATATCTTCTGTAGGTATGTACATAGGAGTTTTAATTTGTATGTACATAAGGAAGGATTATATGGTTTTTAGACAGAGGGATTATTGTCATAGATATAATTTAATGGTTGAAAAATAATGGATCACTGTAACAGACTCAAAATTTCAGGGAAAAAATTTTGCGAAATGTTTTAAGTCCTGCTCTTCTCGATTCTTGCATTGGAGTGATCTTGCTTTTAATCTTTCCTTTGATTTTGGACTTAAACTTTATTTGTAAAGTTAATCGCTCCCTTTTAAATTTTATAAAACCTTTCCATTTATTTTATGTAATCTCTAACTTTGGCTCTAAATTATATTTCCTTTGAATCCATTCCCGAACACCTCCAACAAATACCCTTTCAATTCCCGTTCAACCATCTCTAGAGCACATGAAATATCAATCTCTCTAGAGTTAATACCTTTTTATTTCGAGCTTACCACACTACCACCAAATCCAGTTTTATCTTCCACCAAATACTTCTCCTTTGATCTTTACCCAAACACATGAAATACCAATTCTTATTTTTCCTAGAACCAATACCTTTCCTTTGGATCTCCACCTAAATATTCCTGTAGTCCATAAAATATCCTTTTAAATCTCCCTGAGTCAATATACCTATCCTTTAGAAGTATATCAATCTACCACCAATTCCGTTCCTGTAGAAATTCCCATCCACATATACTTCCAAATCCAGTTCTATACTCTAACAAATATTTCCCCTTTGAAATCTCGTTCATCTAAATTATCCATTTAAGATTTCAAAGTCTATTATTCAACTTGGGCCAATATTTGCTCGATTGGTCGTCACTTTGTTACACCTCCTCATCAATTTTTATCCCTTAGACTAAACCGATATAATTTCAAATTTTCCTAGAATTTATTCTGGATCAATTCCTTGATCTAGACCTATCATTAGAAATCGCCATTTTTTCTCCTTTATACAACACCTTTCATAAACCCCTTTGACATTCCCAAAATTCTCCTATTCTGATTGAGCCGCCAATTTGATTCCTATGGCTTGATCATATCCTTGGCACAAAGAACAATATCATCACCAATATTAAATGATTGCTCTTGTGCTAAGAAATCTAGTTTCATTCCCTTTCATTCAAAAATCCAAATTCCCTTTAGCCATAACGAATCCCCAGAAATCTGTACCACATAATGTCGGGCTGAAGTCCAATTTATTTACCACCATCCATTTTTGCCACCATCCTAAATTTATCCAAAGTTAGAAGTTAAATTATTGCCTTTTTGATTATTTTTGTGACAAGTTTTATATATTTGGTTCTTATTG